CATGTAGAGTTTGGTTTGGTACTTCCAGGATGAACTAGCATGTCCAAATCCACCTTGCCCTGACACCTGGAAAAGCAAATGTACCTTGAATGTGTCCGTAAACCATGAATGAAACAATTCCATTTGTAGCTAAGTGGCTTTCGCAAGAAAGTTCATCTTTGCTTTTATTTTTCTGATTTCAGAGAACATCAGTTTCAGTTCAAACCATAAAACCCAAACAAGTTTTTAAATAGACAACAAAAAAGACACCCAGCTCTGTAATATGAAAACTATATTTTTTATGTGTACCTGATTAGATCCTGAAGCTTGTTGGCTCTGGCTATTTATTGTGTGCTGGACACTTCCCTTGAGCTTGGAATTATTTTACTTGCCTATTAAAAAAAAAGAGAGAGAGGTTCATATCATGCCAATTTTTCATGGTGAATTTATTCAACAAAATGTCCTGCTTTAGCTGAAAAGCAGGCTGAAAGGTTTGTCCAAGATCAGTCATAAAATGAAATGCTGCCCAGACCATAACAGATATGGCAAGGGTGGTTTTTGATAGAAGACAATGGGCTCCAATTGCTTAGCAGACTTTAAAGATATGCAACCAGGTCAAAATGTCAACTTTGAACTAAAAACTTAAGTGTCAACATTTAAAAGCAAGAAACCCACAAAAAATGACTGTCATGAAGAAACTGAAAAGCACTTCTGATGCGTGTTGCGTAGCTCTGCTGAGAACCGTTATCCACTAAGTGGATAATCATCATCCACTAAGATGACGATTATGATGATTTTTGCACCACTGAATTAAATATAAAAGAAGTGAAAGGGAAACTTTCAAGGTAATCTAATGACCAGATTTTGTCTCTTGTGTTATATAGATTCTGCTTTGCAGTTGTTAACCTGCCATCTTGTGGAAGGATCTGGAGGCACAGCATCCTGCATCCTAGCAGAGACCCACGCTCTTCAGTGAGATTTGAAACTGACAGGAAGTCCCTCCTAGGAGAATTCTTTTGCAGAGTTAGGACGCCAATTAGAAAATAATAGACACTTACCTGAGTGCTGTGGTTTTATCTTAAATCTTGCAATATGTGATGTTTTCCTTAGATCTGTAGATCCTATAGTCCTCTTAGGTGTAGAGGGTCATTTTTTTTTAAATTGACTATCGAGCCCACAGGGTTGTAGAAAAAACTTTGAAAATTTCCTACACACTGAAAAGCCAGGAGGCAAATTTTAAAAAAGGGAACAAACAGAAAACCAAAATCCCACCCCCTCCCCCTGGTTTTTTCAAGCTATCTCACAATTTTTAAGGTAGCTTAGTTCAGGGGACACAGGCAAGAGGCTGATACATATTCAGTCATAAGTCAGATCAAGTTCTTTTCCACATTTATGCAGATTTTTTAATTTTACTCAGTTGACTTAAAAAAAAAAAAAAGACTAATGTGTTAAAAGGTGAGAAACAGATGTGCTGATAAGACTGATCTCACTTTCCTAATCTGGTCACATGGAACTAGAGTTACAAAATGCTGCCCCACTGTGTGTCAGTCAGTGGGTGTGTCTACACATGCAATTAGTGCTATACAGGTTTACTTTGCAATAATTTACTGTGGAGCCAACCTGTCCTGGGCAGGCATCTACACATGTGGCCATTTGAGAGCAGATTTTGCTCCTCATGGCACTAGCTTGCTCCTGGCCTCCTTGACCCTGCACTACCCGCCATAAAACAGACAGGGGAAGCTGGAGTCTGATCATGGCTGCCTACAGCTCTTTAAAGGCACCTGCCACCACACTGCTGCTGCCCAGCCCCTGTGCTGTCACCTAGACTGTGCCAGGGTTGTCAATGACATGTACGTGGATGCCACCCCTGGTGCCATCTATGAGCTCCAGGGGCTGCAGCCCCACAACCTGTGGGCCCACCGGACCAGCCAGGACTGGTGGCTGTACATAATCCAGAGCATGTAGGATGACGAGCAGAGGCTGGAGTCATTCTGCATGACCTGGGCCACCTTTGAGGAGCTCCTTGATCAGCGGGAATGAGGCCACCACCATATGGCTGCCCCTCCCTGAGGTCACCCAGCTGGCCATTGCCCTGCTCAAGCTGGCCCCACCTGCCAGCTTGTGCTACATCAGCCACCACTTTGGTGTGGGCAAGGCAACTGCTAAGGAGGCCATCCCAGAGGTTTGCAGCACCCTCCAAGACATGCTGGGGCACACCGTGCTCTGGGTCCATGACCCCTTGGAGGTGGTGGTGGGGTTTTGCACCCTGGTCTTCCCTCAGTTCATCATGGCCCTGGATGGGATCCACATCCCCATCACCTGCCCACCCCATGGGGACTGCCCCTACTACAGCTGGTGGGGCTTTCACTCTGTTTGCTGCAGGCCATCATTGATCATCATGATGCCTGTCCCTAGGCAGTGCCACAATTCCTGTGTCTTCCACCACTCCACCTTGCCAGCTGTGGTGGAGGACTGGTGCTTTGTGCCAGGGCTGCCAGGCCTCCAGCTGGGTGAGGTGATGGTCCTGCTTCTCCTCATTAGAGACCCTTCCTACCTGCTCCTCCCCTGTCTCATGTGGCCCTACACTGGCCAGCTGGACCCCTACCATATTTCAACAGGTGCCTGGGTCAGACCCGCACGCTGGTGAAATGCGCCTTCAGCTGCCTGAAGGGATGCTGGCACACCCTTACTTCTCAACCCAAGGTCACAGAGATCAGCATCGCCCATGTCATTGTTGCAGCCTGTGTACTGCATAACATCTATGAGACCTGGGAGGAGCTCTTCTGTGAGGCCTGGGTGGAGAATCACAGTAGGCAGAGGACACCTGGCACTGGCAGCTGCATCAGCAAAGGGACTCCTCCCCACTGAAGCCCTAGGCAAGCGACACACCCAACAGTGGAGGCCAGGATATAGAGTATGAGAGGTGCTGGTGGACCACCTATTCCTGCACTCCCCACTGTAGGCCACCTGAACAGATGGCCGCAGACCCCAGCCCCACTGTGCACCCCCAGCACCACACTCATTGTGGACAGTTTTCTGAAAAGCACCTTATTCCTTTCTGCAAACACAGACCCCCATCTCCACTTCCACCCTACAACAGCCCCTGTCCCCCTTCCTCCCCAACAACTGATCCCCTCCGCCTTCCCTCCGACCCACAGAGCCCCTCCACTCACCCACCCCACCCACCACCAATAAAGCTCTTTCTTCTCCTTGAGTACTATGTACAGGGCTCTTTGTACTCCCAGGGTGGGAGGCAGTAGGGTGGGAACATCTAAGTGGGAAGAGCCCAGGGACAGGAACCCAGCACCCCAGCCTCTGGCCACACCACTGCAAGGTGGGTCAACTGGAGTAGGCACCACCCCACTCACACATGTCTGGCCCAGGTCCTCCAGAGCAGCAGCAGAGGGCAAACTGGGCTGGGTATTGCTCCTCCTGCCTCTGGTGGGGATCAGCTGTAGAGGGACAGGGGGAAAGCGCTGCTGCAAGAGCAGGCTGCTCGTGTGTGTGTGTGTGTGTGTGTGTGTGTGTGTGCTCCCACCTGCTGTGATGGATTTCAGAGTGTATCAGCAGGGAGGCTGAAATGCCATTTGCCATCCACTATATGCTAACTGTGGTGGCCCATTCTGCGTGCAAGGAATGCTACTGCATCCAATTCTAGGCTCCACAGTTTAAAAAAGAATGTGGAAAAGCTTGAGAGAGTGCAGAGGAGAGCCACGCGTATGATCGGAGGGCAGGAGACTAGGCCTTATGATGAGAGGCTGAGAGCCATGGGACTCTTTAGCCTGGAAAAGAGCAGGCTCAGGGGCCACCTGGTAGCTGCCTACATGTATATAAGGGGTGGACATCAGGATCTGGGGGAATGCCTGTTCACTAGAGTACCCCAAGGAATGACAAGGTTGAATGGTTATAAACTCCTCCAAGACCCTTTTAGGCTGGACATAAGGAAAAACTTCTTTACTGTCCGAGTCCCCAAGGCCTGGAATAGACTGCCTCCAGAGGTGGTGCAAGCACCTACCCTGGACTCTTTTAAGAAACATTTGGACACCTATCTTGCTGGGATCCTTTGACCCCAGCTGACTTCCTGCCCCTGGGGCAGGGGGCTGGACTCTATGATCTTCTGAGGTCTCTTCCAGCCCTGATGTCTATGAAATCTATGAAATGTGAAATATCCCAAATTTTGCAAATAAGTAGACATGGAGTTCTTCAACAGTATATTCACTAACTTCATTTTCCTGGCAACAATGAAAGCTATTCCAGTGGCTGCTACTAGCTACAAACCAGCCCACTTGGCAACGACAGCAAGTTGTTTTTCACAGTTTACTCAGCAATCATTAGTTAACAGTTTTCAGTCACTGCCAGTGAGACTGGAGTTGAACCATTGACTGACAGAGACATAATTTTTATAGGAAGTCATGCATCAGAAAAAAGGGTTTACACTAAAAGGCTTCCTTGGTCATCTCTAGGGTATCACTAACACATCTTCAATAGTACTTGCATAACAAGTTCTCAGCAGTGGTTCAGGCTTACAGTCCCACCTCACCACCAGAAACAGATCTGAAAGAAATACATTTGAATTGTTAACTCTGCCTCAGATAAGCAACTCTCTGCCATTAGGTGCTGTTCATGTGCCTTTGTGGACATTTTTCCTGTTTCTCTTTACACTGCATTTTCCCCTGTCCCTTTCATCATAGTTCCCCTCTTTTCCTCTTTCAGGAACCTGCATGTAGAGTTTGGTTTGGTACTTCCAGGATGAACTAGCATGTCCAAATCCACCTTGCCCTGACACCTGGAAAAGCAAATGTACCTTGAATGTGTCCGTAAACCATGAATGAAACAATTCCATTTGTAGCTAAGTGGCTTTCGCAAGAAAGTTCATCTTTGCTTTTATTTTTCTGATTTCAGAGAACATCAGTTTCAGTTCAAACCATAAAACCCAAACAAGTTTTTAAATAGACAACAAAAAAGACACCCAGCTCTGTAATATGAAAACTATATTTTTTATGTGTACCTGATTAGATCCTGAAGCTTGTTGGCTCTGGCTATTTATTGTGTGCTGGACACTTCCCTTGAGCTTGGAATTATTTTACTTGCCTATTAAAAAAAAAGAGAGAGAGGTTCATATCATGCCAATTTTTCATGGTGAATTTATTCAACAAAATGTCCTGCTTTAGCTGAAAAGCAGGCTGAAAGGTTTGTCCAAGATCAGTCATAAAATGAAATGCTGCCCAGACCATAACAGATATGGCAAGGGTGGTTTTTGATAGAAGACAATGGGCTCCAATTGCTTAGCAGACTTTAAAGATATGCAACCAGGTCAAAATGTCAACTTTGAACTAAAAACTTAAGTGTCAACATTTAAAAGCAAGAAACCCACAAAAAATGACTGTCATGAAGAAACTGAAAAGCACTTCTGATGCGTGTTGCGTAGCTCTGCTGAGAACCGTTATCCACTAAGTGGATAATCATCATCCACTAAGATGACGATTATGATGATTTTTGCACCACTGAATTAAATATAAAAGAAGTGAAAGGGAAACTTTCAAGGTAATCTAATGACCAGATTTTGTCTCTTGTGTTATATAGATTCTGCTTTGCAGTTGTTAACCTGCCATCTTGTGGAAGGATCTGGAGGCACAGCATCCTGCATCCTAGCAGAGACCCACGCTCTTCAGTGAGATTTGAAACTGACAGGAAGTCCCTCCTAGGAGAATTCTTTTGCAGAGTTAGGACGCCAATTAGAAAATAATAGACACTTACCTGAGTGCTGTGGTTTTATCTTAAATCTTGCAATATGTGATGTTTTCCTTAGATCTGTAGATCCTATAGTCCTCTTAGGTGTAGAGGGTCATTTTTTTTTAAATTGACTATCGAGCCCACAGGGTTGTAGAAAAAACTTTGAAAATTTCCTACACACTGAAAAGCCAGGAGGCAAATTTTAAAAAAGGGAACAAACAGAAAACCAAAATCCCACCCCCTCCCCCTGGTTTTTTCAAGCTATCTCACAATTTTTAAGGTAGCTTAGTTCAGGGGACACAGGCAAGAGGCTGATACATATTCAGTCATAAGTCAGATCAAGTTCTTTTCCACATTTATGCAGATTTTTTAATTTTACTCAGTTGACTTAAAAAAAAAAAAAAGACTAATGTGTTAAAAGGTGAGAAACAGATGTGCTGATAAGACTGATCTCACTTTCCTAATCTGGTCACATGGAACTAGAGTTACAAAATGCTGCCCCACTGTGTGTCAGTCAGTGGGTGTGTCTACACATGCAATTAGTGCTATACAGGTTTACTTTGCAATAATTTACTGTGGAGCCAACCTGTCCTGGGCAGGCATCTACACATGTGGCCATTTGAGAGCAGATTTTGCTCCTCATGGCACTAGCTTGCTCCTGGCCTCCTTGACCCTGCACTACCCGCCATAAAACAGACAGGGGAAGCTGGAGGCTGATCATGGCTGCCTACAGCTCTTTACAGGCACCCGCCCCCACCCTGCTGCTTCCCCGCCCCTGT